TAATTGTCTATAGTAATAAATCTTTAGGCTCGAAGGTGTACTTATTTTTCACCCCTCACATTTTCGGTGTCTCCTCAATGCCATCTCATTCTCTTATCATTATTCAAAACCTTAGAAATTTTCACCTTTCATTTCAACTCATTTTTATTTTATTTTTTTAGCAATAAAATTATTCTATTTTAAAAAAACTAAATGTTTGTAAATAATTTAAATTAAATAAAACATATTTCCTAACAACAAAATTACTAAATCTCAATATTTCATTAGGTGGATATAAAATCTCATTATCTCATCAAATCAACTGGAAATATTTTCTCATAATCTCCTCCTTCATCCTCAAAACCATCTAGAAGCCTTTCTTCCTAAAGATGGTCCGTATTTTACATATAAAATTTTATATCTTCTACGCATTGTTTTTTTCTCATGCACCTTTTCTTTTTTGGCCAAATTTTCCTTTTTAAATTCCAATCGTTTTGAGGAATTCTTGTAATATTGTTTTAATCTCATCGATATGTTTCTTATTTACTTTTATTCTTTGGTGAATCCCGAAGTATTTGAAGAAGACTCATTCCCCTTCCGTTTTGCTTTGTCTCTATCCATCGGGTGTTTAAGTTTTTCTAACTCGAACTCATCATTTTCATACAAATCTAACCGGACACGAGCATCGGAAGAAAATGTGTAATCACTTGACGACGTTCTTTTTCTTTTTCTTCATCCTCAATCGACTAGTTTGGCTTTGAATTCTTTACATTCCAAACTACAAGATAAAACATTGCAAGTGTCATTAAATTTGGATGGATCTTGGTTTTCATTCCGAAGCAATTTGTACGCCTTTTGTAGAATTTATTCATCACTTTTCACTCTTTCAATTTTGCTTTTTAGGTTGTTGTACAACCTGTTCATCTTAGTAACATTTTTCGTGATTTATTAAAACTTTAAATTCAGTGGGTGTTAACTTTGATAGTCATTATGAAGCCCAATTTGTGCGAAAATTCTTTCGATAATGTGTTACCAAAACTTCTCAATCGATTTTTCATTCCTTGCTTTGCATCCTCAGATATGTTGACTCACGCTTGTATCAACAACAATTCTTCCCTTAGAGTCCACCACTTTAGGGTTGGGCTTTATTTTATTTTTCACCGGTTCTTTTTCATTGCTGTATATAGGGGTTTGGTCCTGCAAGATGTCTCGCAAGATGTTTCCTGTGAGGGGTTTGAGTTTCCTAATTGACTTCGTCATCCGACTCTTCGAGGGTCTGGGTGGAAGGATCGTTGGATGGGGTTTGGCTTTGTGGCGCAAGAGGTTGTGGTTTGGTAAATATTAATTGTGAAAAGTGACAAAATTATAAACCATTTTGGGGGTAATATTTGGAACTTGCATAAGATAGTATTATTGAATATATTGTTATTCAAATCGTAGAGAGGATTGAACAAGGGTATAAGTTGGGGACGGTAAACCAAAATCGGCATATCAAAAACGAAAATGTTTCTAGTTGGTATGGTTGAGCTAGAAACATAGAATTTTATTTTATTATATTTTGGAGTGGGGTTTTTGGGATTTAAAATGAACGAAATAAAGTAAAGAGGAGAAAAGAAAAGATAGTGTGAGTTTGATGGTAAAAGTAGATGTGTATTTATAGAGTTGTAAACCGGTAGAAAAGAATATATATATATATATATATATATATATATATATATATATATATATATATATATATATATATATATTACTGAAATCGTTCCTATAGTTTACAAACATTTCACGATTGATCCGTATCTTTTTTTTGCATTCGGACTGTTCATGCAGTTTTGTTTTTTTTTTTGCACTTTTGGTCCATACTATATATGAATGGACTAAATTGCCCCTACTAATTTTATTTATATATTTATTTATTATTTATAAAATAAAAAATAATGTATAAATGATCCATTTCCTTGAAACTAAACCTCTCTCTCTCTCTCTCTCTCTCTCTCTCTCTCTCTCTCTCTCTCTCTCTCTCTCTCTCTCTCTCTCTCTCTCTCTCTCTCTCTCTCTCTCTCTCTCTCTCTCTCATTTTATTTGAAAATAAGCTAAATGATTTCGTACAACCATTGTCGAACAATCATATGCCGCTTTGGCTTGCCGCCTAAAACCAATGTGTCATCATCCAAAACCAATAGGCCCCATGTATTTACACTTCAAAGTTTATGCACACCAAGAAAAAAGAGAAAAACGACATCAAAGAAGATCAAGATTTGGTTGTTCACCGAACTACCGTCCTGAGCCATCTCCGACCATCACACCTACAGTCGTTCCATCCCCCTTCATTCCCTTTCTATTTATATTTCTCTTTGCCTTCCTCTTATAGTGGTTAATGAGGGTGAACGTGAATTTAGGGGGTGGTCCGGTGGATTTTTTTAAAAAATTCTTTATTTTAGTTAATAAAAATAACAAAAGAAAAAAATATATATAGAAGGGAATATAGTCTTTTTATACATGTAAGCGACCAAAAGCGTAAAAAAACAAAACAATAATGATGGTCCGAGTGCAAAATAAAAGATAAGGACGAAAAATGATTTTTTTATAAACCACACGAACAATTTCGGTGTATATATATATATATATATATATATATATATATATATATATATATATATATATATATATATATATATATATATATAAAAGATTCAAGATCGCCGACATATTTTTTTATTCGCCGCTCTAATGCTTCAGCACACACGCGCGACGTGAGAGTTATATTCATAAATGATTATGTTGTGTCGTCCATTTTTTTCCTGCCACCTTCACCACCACCATCACCTCTGCCACATATATCGAACTAAGATTCAAGATCGCCCACATATTTTTTTATTTCTCCGCTCTAATGCTTCAGCGCACACACGCGGCGTGAGAGTTATATTTATAAATGATTATGTTGTGTCGTCCATTTTTTTCCTACCACCTTCACTACCAGCATCACCTCTGCCACGAACTAACCCCATAATTGCCTCCTCCGTCACCTCTATCACCGTCACTTTTGTCACCATCTCCGTCACTAATCAGTATAATCTTTTGTGGTTAATTACTTTGTGATTATGTATACGTTTTATAATTATTTATTAGGCGTATACACAAAAATATGTATAATCATTTGCTTTAAAAAAATATATATTATTATTACCTTAGGATTTCAACAAAATAAAAAATAAAAATTTTAACCATATGCCACTTAGAGAAGAAAATATTCTCTAATGCGGGTTTTGTCCCAATTAACTAACAGCATGATATAGTTACAACCACACCGTCTAACCTTACTTCAGAAAATTTACTATCATTATACGAAATTCAATCTTTAAACACAAAATCATTAATTATCTTAAATTATTACACGGTTAATATCAAAACCTTGCAATTAAATCTAATATTCACATGAACAAATATCAATTTATTGTAAAGGGAAGGTGCACATGTTTATGAAAATTGGGGCCGGTGGAACGCACGTGACACCAAGGCAACGGTCGGTTCAGTTATTAGTCATGTGTGCTAACTACTCCTAAAGAACCGTTGTAGCATTTATTATTTCTGTTTTTTTTGGACGCATACAAAAGAGTTTAAAAAAGGTTTAGTTGATTGAAAAAATGTTTTTAATAAAGGTACACTAGATTGAAAAAATATTTGTAGTTAGAATCTATTTATAGAAAATGATAGAAGTATATCATATATAAAATAGTAAATACATAATAAATAGTTATTATTTCTCATCTCGGTTTACACCTTCGCAACCATGACCATTCATGAAAGATGGGTCTTCTTTCTAGCACTCGTCCACCGACCACAATCAACTTCCCTTCCAACCAAGCGATTGAAAGTTGATGCTATTACTCCCAACTGGTCCGGATGCATGTTGGACTGCAAGTTTTGTTTTGTTGGTTACACTGCTTGTTATGTGTTACTGTGTTACTTAACACCAACCGCTGAGGATTAAAAGAAATCGAGGGAAACTTTAACATTGACGTGTCGCTATCCCTTCGGTCACCCAAGACGAATGCATACATAATAGAGAAAAAATAGATGAACACAATACAAGGATGAACAAGATTGAATTCGAATTCTACAAAAGGCGGAGTATTCTAGAAAGTGAAATTAAGATGAAAACATAATTTCAGTCATTACCTTTCACATTGCACCACTAGTGAACATCCCTTCCTCACGTATAGCCAATGAACCCCCTTGCCTCTCCTTGTGCACATCTAGTGAACCATTCTTGTCCGATCGACAATCTTAATCCTCATCTCCATCGACGAACCACATTGAAGAACCCTACTACACTACAAGCACCACTGTTGAAGCCTCATCACTCATCCAATCAAAACACTCAGTCCTCATCGTTGCACCCTATTGGCGAACCCTACTATACTACGAACACCACTGTTGAACCCTTTCCTCTTAATTATCGCAATAGATGATGATCATGAGTTTGTGTATTGAAATCTTCAACGAACATGTTAAATATTAAGTTTGTTGTAGAGTTGACCATTTTATATCGAATGGATAATGGCCATTCGTAAGTAAACTTTTTCATTTTGGACAACAAATGGGAAGTTTTTAATGAGAAAATGTGTTGACATGATTACAAAAGTGAAAAGTTTAGATTTTGGTTTTTAGCTTTATAAAATGAGATAATTAATCACCGAGCTAACGAAAGTGAGATTGTAATGCTTCTACCTAAATCTTTGCTCCAAAGTGTTTCTCCAACCTTGAAATCGACCTAGAAGTGTTTTTCAATAAAAAAAATATCTCTACAATGTGTTTGATAAGTGTTATATCTATGGATATTGTTTATTTAGAGATAGAGATAGATGGATAGATAGATAAATACACACACACACACACACACACACACACATATATATATATATATAGAGAGAGAGAGAGAGATTAAGAAAACACAACATGTAGCGTTAAGGTTGCTTCGTGAATGTCGAGGTATTCGTCTTTGAGTCGGCTTCGTAACTTAGATGCGATGCACTTTTGGGTGTGACGCGAGAGAAGAGGTTGGTAGACTGAAAAATTCAGAGAAAACAATAAAATTGTTATCCTCTTCTGGGTCAAAAGAAGCAATGCAGAATACATTGGTGGGGGAGGTTGAAAATTTCCAAGCCCTCATGAATGTGAAAGCCTTCCAGGAAGTCGAGGGATGCCCATCGATCCAGTTAAGGTATTTGGGGGGTTTAAAAATGATTCTTGATTTCGAGGGTATAAAGGAAAAAGAAGAATTTTTAAACAATGGAAGAGAGATTTGGCTGCCATGGTTCAAAAAAGTCTCAGACTGGGATCCAGAATGCAATTTCAACGAAATAATTGCCTCTATAATTATCCACGGTGTGCCACAGCATGCATGGTGTGAGGAAGCTTTCTCCATTATCGCAAAGACGTGGGGCTAGTGGTTATTCCGGAAGAATGCAATACTGACTCTCCAAATCTGGCCTTTGGGAGGGTCGGAATCCTCACGTCCCACCCCGGTATCATCAGCTCCTCTATTACAATAATGGTGGACGGAATTCCATTTCGGATAAATGTCATGGAGGACATCTTTGAATCTCTAAAACTTAGTCCGGTGCTCGCAGCAAATGATTTTTACCAAAAGATGTCATGGTGGGACGACGACAGCATGGGTGAAATAGGTAGCCTTATCAGTGAAGATCAGTTTCAAGTGGAGGATGAAATTTTGACACCGGAATTATCTCCGGCGAAGGCTCACCAAATGCATGATCAGGGAGTGGAAGAGGAAGAGTCGCGAGTAAAAGCCCCAAGCGATGGAACCAAGGAGTCGTCTCGATTTTCCAAATCTGTGGAATCCCACAGAGAAGTTGTATCGCCTCTAATTTCAAAATCAGGTAACGCCTTATCTGGATCCTTTTCTCTCGTGGGCCGAAGTAAACGTTGGGCCCAATCTCCTCCAGTGTTTCAATTCCAGCAACCCAATACTTCCTTGGACCTAAATAAAGCCCCCTTAAGCTCCAATCCTTTTGTATCGTTAGACCACCGCGCTGACCTTATTAATGCTGATCTCTCTCGTTCCTGGATATCCTCTCCCATACCCCCCACAGGCGATCCTCAAAATTCGCATGCGAGTGTGGCCAGGTCCCAACAAATCCTGCAACCTTCAGTCCCTCAGACCCAACCTCTAGACTCGGATGCCACTTCAGTTGAGGTTGAAAATACCATTGTTGTAGGAGAATCAGTTGGCTTGCAGGTTGGGGATAGATCTGACCAACTAAGGCAGATGATTAGAGCCCGAGGAGTGATGATTATTGATCAATGAATATTTTTTCCAATAACATTCGTGGAATCGGGTGCGAAGTTAAAAGGATCTGGATCAGAGAGTGTCGTCTCCAAAACCACATTTTCTTTGTGGGGCTCCAGGAAACAAAGTCCATGGAGGTTAAAAATAAACTATACAGGTATATTTGGGGTTCTCCAAATTTTCAATGTGAGGTAGTCGATCCATCGGGGCTCTCTGGTGGAATTGCTTCCATATGGGATCCTTCCCACTTAAAGGTCTCAGACTCAATAAAAGGTATTGGCTTCCTAGCAATCAGGGGTATATGGCTCAAGTCGAGGAAAAAATGTTGTTTTGTGAATGTGTATGCTCCACAAGATCTAGGGAGGAAAAGGACACTCTGGTCAAATATGTCCGATCTTATTAATTCAGACCCTGACGCGTGTTGGTTCATCTTTGGCGATTTCAATGTTGTCCGCTTGCCTGAAGAAAGACTTGGATCCGTCTTTTGTCAAAGTAGTGCCTTTCATTTCAATAATTTCATCAACTCCCTTGGTTTATTGGAAATTAAAATGAGGGGTCGAAGATTTACGTACATGAACTCATCTGGGGATAACCACAGTAAACTTGAAAGATTTCTTGTCTCCCTAAACACGTTGGATCTCTGGCCACATCTAAATGTCACAGCCATGCCGAGGGTACATTCCGATCATTGCGCTATTCTCATGTCTGACTCCCAATTGGATTTCGGCCCAACCCCATTCAGATTTTACAATTCTTGGTTAAAAGATCCAGGTTTCAAAGATATCTTAAGGAGTGGATGGACAATCTGCAATAATTCACAGAATCGGATGCTCTTATCACCCTTATCCCTTGTTGCAGGTAAACTGAGGAATCTTAAAGTGCATATCAAAGCATGGAGAAAACAAATGGTAGAAAATTCTAGAAAGGAGATGGAGAAGTTCATTAAAAGAATAAATTGCATCGATCTCTTGGCCGAAAAGAGTCAGGTAAATGGAGAAGTTCTCAGAAGTCGCAGATGGCCCATCAGAAAATCATGGAAATAGAGTCCAGGCGCATCGAAGACTTAAAGCAAAAATCTAGGACAAAATGGGCTCTGGAGGGTGATGAGAATAGTGCATTTTTACATGGTCTTATTAACAAGCATCAAACATCTCAAAGGATTAATGGCATAAAAGAAAATGGTTTCTGGATAAACGAACCTGGTGCAATCAAAGAGCTGGTCATTAAACACTTTGCTGGGAGATTCACTGAGCCAAACAAATATCGTCCTAAGTTCTTTAATCCAAACTTTAAAAAACTGCCCCCCACGCGATCTCGTTCTTGGAAGAGCCTTTTTCATTTGAAGAAATCAAATCTGCCATATGGGCTTGTGGCCCGGACAGGGCCCCAAGCCCTGACGGTTTCTCTTTCGCATTTCTAAAACAACATTGGGAGGAGGTTGGAAGTGATATATACCTTGCAGTGAAACACTTCGAAGCCACGCGACAGATTGACAAAGGCTGCAATTCCTCCTTTATCACTCTCATTCCGAAGATTCAAGACCCAATCACAATGAATGACTTCCACCCAATCAGTCTCATCGGATGTATGTACAAAACAATCTTAAAGATCCTAGCCGAACGACTAAAAAAGGTGGTACATTTGGTGGTTAGCAAAACTCAGACTGCTTTCATTAAAAACAGGAATATTCTTGATGGGCCTCTTATTTTAAATGAAGTTATCAGATGGATAAAGAAAAACAAAAAGAAATCTTTTACTTTTAAAGTAGATTTTGAAAAGGCTTTTGATAGTACTAGTTGGTACTATCTAGATTCAATCATGCAACAAATGGAATTTGGGGACAAATGGCGTTCATGGATTCTAGGTTGTTTAGCGTCCGCTAGAGTCTCGGTAATTATTAACGGGTCAGCAACATCAGAAGTTGATATGGAGCGTGGGGTTAGACAGGGTGATCCATTATCCCCGTTTTTGTTCATCATTGTAGCAGAAGGGTTACACATCGCCATGGAAACAACGAAAGAAAAAGGCATATTTGTAGGTATCCGGCTTCCTCGGCGTGGTCCTGAAATTTCCCATCTTCAATATGCCGACGATGTAATTTTTATGGGCACGTGGACCTTGGAAAATACAAAAAACCTGATTAGAATTCTTAGATGCTTTGAGCTGTCCTCAGGTTTTAAAATAAATATGTCAAAGTGCAAAGTATATGGCTTTGGTGTCCAGAGCTGTGAGTTGGACCTGGTCGCCCCTTATTTATTTAGGGCTTCCAGTGGGTGCTATGGCAAGAGACAATCACTGGAAACCTATAATCGAGAAGCTTCAAGCAAAGCTATCTAGATGGAAAGCGTCCACCTTGTCGTTTGGAGGTCGATTGACCTTATGTAAAGCAGTTCTAAGCAGTCTTGGCTCTTACTACTTCTCTATATACAAGGCTCCTGTAAAGGTTATTAAAATGCTTGAAAGGATTCGGATGAGATTCTTTTGGGGCGGTTGTCTCAAATCAAGGAAAATGGCATGGATTGCTTGGGGAAGGACTCTAGCAGCTAAAGAGAGGGGCGGTCTAGGAATTGGTAGTTTAAAGACTCAGAATTTGGATCTGTTGGGGAAATGGTGGTGGAGATTCAAAACACAACCTGACAGCATATGGGCCACGGTGATAAAGTCCATTCACGGACCTGACGGTGGCTTGTCCCATCCTACGACTGCAAAAAGGAGAAGTAATTGTTGGGGGTCAATAGTTTGTTTGCCAATATCACTTGGGAAAGATCAGCTGCCATTTTTGAACCACTTTCAACAGGTAGCAAACGGGGACGACTCTTTAAAATGGAGTTGGTCGCTCGATCCGTCAGGGGTATACTCGGTGTCGTCCTTGAGATCCCATATTGATAATATTGTCCTTCAGCACAACAATGATACATGGTTATGGAACCCGCTGGTTCCGGGGAAGCTAAACGTTCTAGCGTGGCGTGTTAGGCATGGACGACTTCCATGTATGGAGAACCTCTTTAACCTCGACATCAGCTCTTCAAATTTGTGCAAAATGTGCAACGCAGCCCCGGAATCAGAAGATCATATTTTCGTGGAGTTTCCGGTATCGAAGGAAGTCTGGGCACAAGTGTGCAGTTGGTGGCAATTAATGGAGCGCTATCCTAGTTCCTGTCGAGATTTTTTAGATTGCAAAAACAGGTTGGACGGTCATCAAAGGTTGAGGGAATTCCATGAAGCTATAATACTAGTTTTCATGTGGGTAATTTGGAGGTTTAGGAATGGAAAAGCTCATTCCCTCAATTCAATATCAAAATCGGTGCTGGCATATGAGGTGCAAGCCCTCTCACATTTATGGATCAATGCTCATCATCGGAGAGGGCTGCAATTGAGGTGGCTAAACTGGTGTTGTGATCCAATTCTAGAGTGTTATGTTAAGTTTTGATTTTCTTTCTTTCATGTTGTTTTTGTTTGTAATTTTGTTGTGAACTTTTATGTTTTCCTCTAGCCTCTGGCTAGTTCTTAATATATGCCTGCCGTTAAAAAAAAAAAAGTTCTCATTAGTTTGATTCTTGGCCAAGTCATTTCCTTTGGCTCGAAGCAATGAATTTATCTATAATTATCCGATTTAAAACATATTAAGTGTCTTTAATTTTTAAATATATTAAATAAGCTCATAAATATTAAGACGGTGGCCTTATATATATATATATATATATATATATATATATATATATATATATATATATATATATATATATATAGAGAGAGAGAGAGAGAGAGAGAGAGGTTTTATGGAAAACAAAAAACCTTAAAAAAACTCTAAAAATCATAAAAATACATAAAAAATTACTTAGAGATCACAAAACTATTTTTTAAAATTTTTTATTAAAAAATCACATGTTGTTAAGTAAATTTACAGAGTTTTTTTGAATTTTTTTTTTTAAAAACAAAAAAAAATCATTTTTTTTTCAGTGAACTTATTAAAAAACCTGCAATTTTTTATTAAAAAATTATAAAAAAAAGTTTTGTAATCCCTAAGTATTTTTTTTATGTATTTTTATGAAATTTAGGGTTTTAAGCTTAGGTACCTAACCATATCATACTACGTAATTTTGTATCATATTTGCATTGTAATCACCCAAAGTTCTT